CACTTGCATATTTGGGTGTCTTTCGCGAAACTAAGTACACTAATATTAGGCGGACAATATCATGGCCTTTCCAAAATTTTCAGCTATGGCTACTTAGCCGTTGTAAGATTGATTACATCAATCGAATATTCGTTAACGCTCGCTCCTCTTGCAGTCCATGCAATTGTAAGTGTCTGTGCAGTTTCATTTTAGCACGCATATTTGCCACCTGAATTGACTGTGTTTTTAAGTAAAATTATAAGACACATCTACCAACTTCGATAAGGAAAAAATATTGTTTTGTGATCTATTTTTCCCATTTGGCCAAAATCATCATCGCTGGACCTCTTAAGGGAACTTTCTACAAAACTGGCTACGCCTGTTGCTTTAGAGCGACCTTCATGAGCCTGCATTGTTGTTTTTCGTTGTTTCTTTTTCATTTTTCAGTCTTTTTATCACTGTAGCAACTTGTGGTTTAGTCACAACTTCGCCCAGTTTTGCAGTATATCTCTTTTGTAGATATTTTTCAAGTTGCAGTGCTTAACCGCAGTTTTTACTGCAGAATTAGTGATCCCATTTTTCCTGCCGTTTACGTACCTTCTTTTTCAACTATGGCCGATATAGACGATAATAAGGTCTCACTCGTTGTCAATACCCTTCCTTGCAAGCTCCCTCCGTCTATACTCAGTAATTCCCGCGTGTGGTCCCGAGAGATAGCGACTGTCTTCACGACAGTCCCCATAAATTATGACCGTAGTGGGTATTCGTACGTTGTCCAATCACTTCCGATCGATATGGCAGTCACGGTCGAAGAAGTGCTAGATCTTATGCCAAACTAAGAATCCTATCGGAAACTGAATGACGCCGTTATTCAGCGAACCTCCTCATCGGCCAACTGTATACTCCAAGAGCTTTTTACGTCAGTTGAGGTGGACGATCAGACACTTTCGCAGCTTATGCGTTATGTGTGTTCTTTACTGGTTGGTCGTCCAATGGATGACGGGATTTTTCGTGAAATCTGGCTGGATAAACTGCTGGTCAGAATGCAGCAGGTCATGGTCATGTTCGACACAAGCACACCACTAGAAGAACTGGCCAACCAGGCCAATCGTATTAGGGAATGTTACCCCAACGGTATTACTTATCCAGCCATCCAGCAAGTCACGGTCACTAACACGGGGTCCGATACTGTAC